TTATCATTAAATGGAAACGTATAGGAATACGTACCCTGATGCTAAATGTCGTTACCCCTTGACTAGGATTCTCTGGTCTCGGTCCTAACACTCCAACGTAGATTATATATGTCAATAACGTCCTAATACAATTAACACGCCATTTCAAGCTCTTCAGCATGGTTTCATTTTATAAAATGGGACAACCGGATATTAAAATTCAACCCTCTTCCTGCTGTGTGTTACAAATGGTTTTCAGGGAATCGGATACACTCCAGGTACAAGCTGTGCTTCCGAAATGTACCAAGCATAACTCTATTTATAGTACATTTAATAGTGATTCTCACATTGAACTATTCAGTAAAGATTATGCACAGTAAGAAACATTGCATGAATAATTTGAATCGTGAATGCATGCAAATTTTAAAACTCGTTTTTGAAGCTTTCATTATTGTCGTGATTTAACTGTTGAGCATCTTTGTCTTCTGCTATTGCGATGCTACATGAATTTTCTGTACATGCTTATTTCTGACACGTTTATTCTGAATTAATTTTTATATATACAGAAGTGTACAAAATCATGTGATTTAAAAACTATGTATTTCTTCACCGCTAAACAATATGCTTTTGAGATGTGCTTCATATATAATCAGTGGAGATTGTTTATTGAACGCTTGTATCCACTTCTCAATGTTCATTCTATTCATTCAAAGGCAACAGACACTATCGGTAAAGCAAGCCGAAAATGTATCTTTCATTATCACAGAAGGAAGAAGCTGACGGTAATGCAGATACGAAGTGTGAAGAAGGAAGTAAAGTAATATAAGTGTAGAGAGGGTTTAGTTAGAAACTAGTCAAAGCGATTTTTTTGTTTCTAAACATTACGGATATTCAATTCAAGCAAGTACTACGTAAGTAGCAAAACCAAAAGTTACCTAAAAGAGTGTGCTATGAGTACAGCGTAAAAGTCATTAATTCAAATTAAATATGTTAATTCTTAATTATTGAGTTTACATCTTTTGTACTGTGCAATAATTAGGCCAAGCGGATTTAATTTTATGTAAGTTATCCGATGATTCAATTTAATTAGCACTATGCGTAACACTTTGGGGGTTGGAAGTGGGATTCAGACCTTGATCACAAGTTGGTTATAATATCTGTAAGAAAGTTTAATCTCCAACTGCTTGTTTTCTCTTTTTTCCGAATAATATAATCAAAATATTCAGTTTATGTCTTATTGTTGGCATGCAACCTGAAAACAAGAGTTTTGTTTTGCGATTAATAAAAGGAAGAGGTGCAATATATATATATATATATATATATATATATATATATATATATATATATATATATATATATATATATATATATATATATATATATATATATAATCATCATTGGCCTTAGAAAACCATCTGAGGAACGCCCTTTGAGTGTTGTCTATCTCTGGATTTTGGCATATGGCCGTGCATGCAAATGCGCGAGTGATAATCCTTATTGCAGTTGGAGCAGACGTACAGGGAAGTCTGATTTGCTTGGTTTGCTGCTGCACGCTTCTTTCTCTCGCGTTTATCTGCGGCCTGCTGGGCTCTCCTCCCATCAGCTACTACTACTACTACTACTACTACTACTCCTACTACTACTAATACTACTATTGTTATTATTATTATTATTATTATTATTATTATTATTATTATTATTATTATTATTATTATTATTATTGAATATAAACTGTATGAGGACTGATAATATGCCGTTTCGAAGGATATCCTGACTTGACAATGCAGAGACCCAGAACGAATGGACCTTTAAAGGATTTTCTGACTCAGGAAATATGGAGTCTGGATGAGATCGGGTTAATACTCGATCAACTCACCCAAAATAGTCATGACTGGAGGCGATAAAATTTGTGTGCAGTGACTTCTAGTCTAGTCGAAGTTCCATACCAAAAGAGATTGTGGCAGGCAACTCTCGTGGTTATACCATACTACCATATGTTATAGAGAACGGTCACAACCCACAACCTCACTACGGATGTAACAACTGAATGCTTATCACAAAGTCTGCAATAACACCAACAGGTTACTTAAAAACTAAAACGAAATTGGAATTTGTTAAAAATGATTCTATACTACATGTAACGACCAGTCCATGCTTAAATCTGTTGAAAGCCCCGCCAGAATAATATTTAAATGTTTGTTTGACCATCTCATAGCATTCCTCGGTTGCATCCACCTGATGCTATGATTTCTAACCCCTATATGACTGTTGTGCTACACAGCATCATAAATGACCACCTTCATAAGCCTAAAGTTACATCACTAAGCATGCTCTGCCAAAATTTATAAGTGCGTATTTGTCATTGTTTCCAATCATTAGTGTCTTTCGTAAGATAGTGCATTTTAATCCCAATATAGCATCAAAAACGTCGATAAAGACAACATCAGAAGCAAAATAATAATGTAGAATAGAACCTAACCATGCGTGAAGTACACATCTGCTTCCCATCGCCATTTAGGGCAAAATTAACTTTTTGCTAAATGTCTCACATTTTTTTGTGGGTCTTTATTAGCCCAGATTGGTTATGTAGTGCTGATGCAGCTGGAGTAAAGTGCCTTGTCCAGGAATAGATCATGGTAACTAATCCAGGCTGGTCCAATGGTAGGATTCGAACGCGCATTCTTTTGGTCGTGTGACGTTCACGCTAAAAAAAAAATCCACCACCGCTGCTGAAGAACAATTTATCCAGATCAGTCTTCCCCAAGTTACAAATAAAGAATGTTAGCAAATGAAGGGAACAAACAGAAAGCAATCTGAACGATCTAAAAGAAAAAAAAGGAACTACCAGGAAGAAAACGAATACAATCAGTTGTAAATAAACTCATTAGTGCATGCAGAGAAAACTAAAATTTGCATCTCCATGACAGAGTACAAACAGAAAGTAATTAATTGCATTTTAAAACAGATCCATGGATGATTACAATGCAGATGATGATGATATATGTAATGCAATATATGCAATTTGCGTTCCACATAGAGGTTTGTCGATCTTGAGGTTATCGAACTGGGCAAAGTGTTATTGGTATATACTCTAAAGCTAATGATGGCAATACCAAATATAGTAATAGCATCTATCTCATGACTTGGTAGATACGCGTGATGTATGACTCCACCCGAGATAATGACAGCTGTAAATATACAATCCAGTTATTAACTGGATCTTGATTTCTGTATATACTATGACTAATGAAAAATGTGGCTTGTTGAGGTATGACAATAAGATTTCCTAGATGATATGTTTTACCTTAGCAGCATTTTATACCACAGTGTCAAGAACTAAAAGTTGGCTCAGTGTCAAGAAATAAACGTTGGCTCATCCTGTGACCAGGAGTACCGTGCATGCAAACGTGAATAAAGTGATGTATGTATGTATGTATGTATGTATGTATGTATGTATGTATGTATGTATGTATGTATGTATGTATGTATGTATGTATGTATGTATGTATGTATGTATGTATGTATGTATGTATGTATGTATGTATGTATGTATGTATGTGTGTGTGTGATTCTAGGTCACAGAAAATAACGATAAGCAAGCTTTGTAAAATCAACAAATAATTTTTTGTTCTAAATTGCAAAGTGAAATTTTAAGTAGCAAGGTATTATGAATTAAATCTGAAATAATCCTAAATTTCCAAGTGCAAGTCAAAATGTATAGAATGTTCCGATTGAATTCCAATATTCGTGAAATTCCTGATGTATGTTCCGAATGAATTCCTATAGTCTTGACTGAATCCTCGATAATCCCAAGAAGTGTTTTAGTTCCAGACGCCGATTACCACTTTGCAATTCCAATGAATAATTTAAAGGAACAATTCTACCAGAATTTATGAAATCAATTTAAAGCTTTGATCATATAGTTCCAAAAGACTGATATGATAAATGAGTTAATAGTTGATTTGGTTTAACCTAAGACAAAATAAATCTTCAAACAAACCAAAATTTTTACCAAAGTGTACCCAATATCTTTCCGAGAACTTTATATAAAAAACTGCGTAATTTGACAATTTTGTTAATCCTTCAGACATAAACAATCACAAAACAAAACGCAATTGCCTTAAGAAATCTACAAGATCTTCGTTTTAGATGTTAACAATTACAAAGCGGTTAGAAAGGACTCTAAGAGATGACATAAATAAGTAGGTCAGAAGAGAACTTTTTGTATCATATATATGATTGTACACAACAACTGACCAGTGAAAATTTTGTCCGGGATAGTATATTGATGAATTGTCGATTACTTTAAATGAGTACAAGTTTTGTTCTAAAGTCACATTACAAAATTTTGTAATAACTATTTAAAACGAAAATAAAATAAAGTGTATAAATTCTTTACACTGGATTTTTTAACAGATGAATTAATTTACGATTATTAGTTTAATAATACAGATCAGTGACATGAAAATGTGCTTTTACTGTCTTGCAATGTTATTCTGATCTGTGCACCGGGAACTTCCGATTTGTATTGTTATTGCTTTAAGACAACGGGTTTGAATTTTCGAAGTTGTCGATTCCATTACATTTTGTTCTAGCTCCTATTTTCTGTGTTCTTCATTTTAAATTAAGGACAAATCCCGTAAGGCTAACATCTTAGAAAGTGTGAATGGGGTTCGGGTACCGGGCTTCTTTTGATTTTTCGGGTTTACCAATCTAATGCGTATAGAATTATCCTAATAGTTAATGTCTTTGTTTCTTCAACGCATAGGAGAAATAACATAACAGTGCCTCGCATGTCATGAGGCAGGTGACATTCCATGTTTAGGATCTTTTAATCTGTCTATGAATGATTAACTTTTCACTCATAACTGTGCGTGAAAATATAATTGTTTCACATGATTGTGTGGTTGCATCTTTCGTCGCAACACATCTTTCATTTTCCAACATTGTCTAATTTATGCGTGATTTTGATTTTGTTTGTCCTCATTTGTTTGGAATATCATTTTATTCAGTTCACGACTGCTCCGGTGGCCTAGTGGTTAGAGCGTCCGCCTCGGATACGGGAGGTCGCAGGTTCAAACAATTGCCGAATCATACAAAAGATGTATAAAAATGGTGCTAGCAGCTGCTTCGCTTTGAGCTCAGCATTAGGAGGATAGTGTTAGGACTGGCTGGCCTGGTGTTAAGATAATGTGAATGGGTGGGTGGACATGATGCTACATGCCAGTGGCATAATGCCCCAGTGTTGGACATTGCTGTAAACAAGGAGTCTCAAACTTAAACCATCCAGAGGGCCACATGAGAGCATTTTCGATGGCCCAAGGGCCGCACCACCTTTGCTATCTCTCATGACACCTTGTGGCGCCAATCATTTTGTGGGCCACTGGATATGGCGTTGTACTTGAGACCCCAGTTATAAACTGTCACAATGCATCGTAATGATATGACTGAAAAATTGTTAAAGCTACGTTAACAATCTAAATCAAACACACACACTCACACACACACACACACACTGAAGTGGTTAACACAATTCAGTGTTTGATCAATGTTTGTTTAATGGTACGAAAAACGTTAGGTGATTGTATGTAAAAATGAATGGCATTAGTTGTACGTTTTCTCCTCTGTCGAGCATAAAAGTGTCAACTCCCTTTGTTTTGCTCTTTATATTGTTACCGCTTTTGGATCTTTCTTCTTTCACGCTTTCTCTTGTGTTGAGTAAGCTCTCACACCATCCGTAGAAACCATGGCATCATATTCTCCTGATTCTAAGCGATACATTAAGAGATGTTTATCGCTGCAGTGGCTTGGATGGCAACTGGATAGAAGAAGATAATGATTAGTTTGGAATAAATGTCGATTTGGAGCGTGTTTGCAACAATGTTTGTTCCCCCCCCCCCGAATAAAAATATGGTCGTTGTTCAGAATTTCGACATTGAATTTGATCGAATGAAGAAAATTATTGGCCTCCATTATGAATTTGTATAACATTATCCCCTAGTGTTACCTGACGATTTTTTTCTAATAGGCACGTAAAAATACTTGCGCATCAGGGAGCCATGTTAACAATCGTGTCTCTTCCGTTTACTTAAAAGTACTTCTTGACATCGAGTTATTGAGTAAAAGAACAAGCCCCTGAAGTTTGACGATCAATTATGTTAGTAATCATCATGTAAAATACTAGTATAGAGGGATGTTACGGCAAATGAAACAAGCATTGTTTTTGGTGATGATAATTCACTAACTTTACTCTTCACGAAATTGTTCTAAGGGTAGGAAAGTGATGGTGTATGGATGGACCTGGAACCTCATACAATAGTTTAAATATTTAAAAATGATTTCGGTCGGATGAGGATGATCATTACAAGAAATGATGCACCAACGTGTGTGTGTGTCTATATATATATATATATATATATATATATATATATATATATATATATATATATATATATATATATATATATAAACCATAACTTTTTTAAATTTTCAAAATTATCGCCTGATTTATTTTTACAAAGAAAAGTAAAAGCTATTCGCTAATGTGTGATGTTTATTTCTATTTCCACACCATTTTTAGGAATAATTTATTTCTTTATTTCTTCAAGCTTACAATTCTTGTGTCAGTACACTGTTAAGTGTATAATATGTTCGTTTTCGTGAATCTCATCCAAAATTAATCCCATAATTGATGATTCAAGTCCTGTCACTAAAACGTTCGAAATGAATTAGTTAGTATTCTGATAAAGTTCCAAAAGAGAAGGGGATGACGTCTTATATATCCTGTTTTGTGCTGTCGTGTCAGCATTCCCTTGTTGAATCGCTAAAGTTAATATTCCGGCTTTAGAATTCCGAATAATTTCCAATAAATGTTTTTATCCAAGAAGTGTTATGAGAACTATATATTTCCAGGAAAAGTAAATTATTTTAAATAAAAAATTAAATTCAAACTGGTCAAAACACACAAAATACCTTTGAGCTCTGAAGGTATGATTCACGACTGACTAGACAAGCTATGATACATCACTTTACCTCCACTTACAACGCGAACGGACAACGTGATGGGGTCACGTAATCACTTTTCGAGAAAAGTGATAACATCATATGTAAATTGTCGCGTCCGCCCTAGTCAAATTCGATTGTACTGAACAAATCTTACTATAAGATTCATTAATAAAAAAATGTTGTTTTACATAGAACTGACTCACAAGCCAAGTATGACCTTGATTGCGACAAATGATTTTCACTCTAGTAGAAAAGAAATAAAACAAATGTTGTTTACTAGTTCTGAATCAAGGTCAGATACTAGGTCAGTTAAAATACAAAGTGCCAATACTGGTTATTTACCAGATCAAAATAGAATTGAACTGAAGTTTCCCGGAAAATGTCAAATCCTGTGAATGAACGTTTTATTACAATAAAAAGTAACGAAATAAAAATAAAACAAATAATTTAAAACTAATACACAAGTAGTTAAATTACATATACGCAAAAATACATATTGTTGAGAAAGCTATAAAATTATCGATATAGATGCACTGTTTTTGACTAAATACCTAATAAAGCAAGAAATACCATTGTGACAAGGTGGCGAAACACGCACACAAACACAGACACACACTCATATATATATATATATATATATATATATATATATATATATATATATATATATATATATATATATATATATATATATACACACCAGAATTCAATTATGTATTTTATAGAATTAGTCAATACTCACTTCCAACATAGTTTCTGCAATTTAAAAATAGTCGTTTTCTTGATAGCAATATTCGTTTTCTTGATAGCAATAATATAGTTTTACAGTGAATATCATTGGAAAATAATGGTCAATGAATAATCGCATTTATTTAAAAATGTGAGCGCAAAGAAACGTAGCCTAACTGTAGTGGTCGATAGTTACTGATGCGTTATGATAAGGGTTGGTGTTTAATAAATCATTATTATTATTGTAGGCGTTAATAGTTATTAATAGGTTGTTGTTGGCATGTATATTTGATTTCTATTCTTTTGCAGAGTTATATCATGATGATGAATGGAGTTAACGCCTACCTGAATTTTGTTATAATTTTAAGTAGTAACATGATATTTACTAGAATTTGGGTTCAAGAGTTAGTGGAATTTTCAATGGGGTATTTTGGTTTCCCAGAACCATTTATTGTGTCATAGATCAAGTGAATATATATAATAATATTGGTACGTCAGAGCAATCAAGACTATTAGAATTCATTCGGAAGTTTGTATGCTCTTAGTCATGTGATAGGACATTTATGTTGTTTTTTTATTTAATTAACAGCACTGTAATTGTCTCTTATATTTTCCCTTTGTAACTTAGAGAAATAAATTATTTTGCATTGTAAGCTTGCTAGTGTCGCTTCTTTCTGTTACATGGTTAAAGACTTAGAGTTGTAGCAATATCTCTATTTGAATTTTACTTTGCACAATTGTTTTTATGATATAAACTTTCCTAGCAATGTATGCACTCTTATTGCTATACAAATAAGGATTAGAAATATTTATATGGCGCACATGTACACTTTCCTTACTTAACGAGACTCTGTCTAATGCTGAAATTCCATTCTGTCGTTTCTGAGCAATAAATAATCCCCTATGTATATTGTTATGATGTAACGAAGCAATATTGAACGTCGCCTTTACACTTTCCATATTTCAAGATGAATATGTCTAAAGATACAAAAATCTGTTGTGAATATATAAGAACATTGCCGTCTATTTCCTTTCTTTATGAAAAATAATTTGATCAATCTCTTCACATAGTAATTCACAGATAATTCTTGAATGGATGCTACAAGATATAGTTTAAACCGTTGTTCTACAAAAAATAAATGATCTTAAGTCCCAGTAAAAACTTTTTATTAATCATTAACGCGCATAGAAATATCTTCTTCTTTGTGTAATATATTTTTGAGAGATCTTTTTAGCATCATGTTTGCTCAGTATGTAGCTCGTGGGACTCGTAATCCAGGGGTCGCTATGTTTGATACCCACCTAGGCCAGCCTGATTCGGCTACTTATGTGTTTTCCTGGGTTAGGTGTTTAGTTTCCCTTTTGTTTTCATGATATATCCAAATGATGTGTTACAAGTGTCGCTTAAAATAAATTTTTACAATATTTCAGCACTGCTTTTTTTCACTATTGAAAAAATGTTTTAACTATTGAAACCATCCCTTTTTCTAGATAGTGACATCCTTTGCGAAAACAAATTCTATGACTTTATTGTTATCTAAGTTCAAGAAGATCCATAATTACTTCAAAATGAACACAACTTTTCTTTACTACGAATTGTCATAAGTTAATACAAATTATATGGAAAAATATAATTTGCCACCAGACACCAATAGGGCCATCTAGGGGCTCTTGGCTAAATCAAGCCAATATTCCCAATTAGATAGATTTAAATTACTTGTGTTATATTTGTCTTTCAAAATAAATTCAGACATTTTTTAACATTTTACTCTCTGTAAACAGATTTGGTAACTTACACTGTCATTAAATCGTGACATATTTGTTACAGAATCTGCGAGGCTAATGCACAAAAAGTACACACCATTTTCCATGACAATTTAAGTATTGTAAGGCTATAATCGGTTACAACAGATAAAGATGGATAGGGTCATACATTTTATATAGCCCTTTTTTACCCAGAGATGGAATGACTTCCAAATTCATCGGAAACATGGCTCGATTAGTTTGTCTCCATTATTAAATCTAATACAAGAAAGCTGTGATTTTACATTTTACAGTCGAGTTATACTTGGATGCGGAAATATTCTGCAACCGGATCATATAGATTCATATGTATTGTATTTTTATCATATGAAAATTGTATTTTTCTCATATGGAAATGGTATTTGTTTCACCAATTTAGAAATGTTTTCAGAAAATTTTTTTATGTAATATTATTAGCCACTGTAAAAGGTTGTTATAGGCATTTCTAAATTATCATTTCATGTTATGAGCTTTAAACAGGGCACGTAAATAAATGCAGAATATTGTAAATTTTTATATTTTCTTAAGATTTTCCACCTGTAATTTCCTATCACAAG